ACTCTTTCCAGTGGAGGGAAATAATAGTTTCCTATTCCAGTAACTGATTTGCTCATTCACTCAAACACTATTCAGAGCCTATTAAATGCCAGGCACTGAGCTAGGAATTTAAGATGTCATGAAGAGCAAAGAGAGCATAGCATGGATGCTAGTGGGGAAAGAAATCAATAAGAAAGCAAGCAGAGGTGGAGCCAGCAGGTGGCATAGTGTTTAAAGTGCTGGACTCCCACGTCGTTGACTATGGTTTAAGTCCCAGACCTGGCAGCTTGACTCACTGGGCATGTGTGCGTGCCTGCCCAAAATCCAGAGAGGAGAATGGAGGAGAAGAGATTGTGGCATGGCCAACCCCCTTAGGGGGTGATTTCTCACTTTCTGTTTCTCTGTCTCTGTCTCTCTGGCGAGCACATGAAAAAAAAAAAAAAAAAAAGAAGGCAAGTAGAGGCTGGACGGTGTAGTAATGGTAACAAAACTGGACCACACGAGGGAGTCTCCAGTTCGCACCCAGGGCCTGCTTGTATACACTGTGCATGTGTGTGTGCCCCTAATACGAGCAGGCCAAGGCCTGACTACAGAATAAGGACTCTGTTGAGGGGGAGTGCTCGCTCTTTCTCTCTCTCTCTGAAGAAATAAAAGATTTTTTTTGTTTTGTTTTGTTTTGTTTTTTAAAAAAAGGTAACAATTACTAATCACGGAGTGCTATAAAGCACTATGGAGGGGGAGCAGCAGAGATGTAATGGCTATGTCACTGGACTCCCATGGAGTCAACTGTGGTTCATGTCCCAGACCCGGTGGCTTAATGTCGGACGTGTGTGCATGCATATCCAAGATCCTGAGAGAAGAATGGAAGAGACGGGATTGCGGTGTGGCCATCCCCCTGGGGAGTGATTTCTTGCTTTCTATCTCTCTTTCTCTGTCTTTCTGGCAAGCACACATGCCCTATAGCAAAAAACCTCCCCGAATTAAAAAAAAAAAAAGTGCTATGGAGGAAATTGTGGTAAAAGCCAGTAACGGGAAGTGGCTATGGTCGTAGCTGGGGTGGCGAGGAAAGATCTCAGCACACGACAGATAAGGAGCCTGCCACACAAAGAGCAGGAAGCAGAGGGGCCCTCACACTTAAGAGCTGAAAGGGACCATGGGAACCAGCAGTTAGCATAATGGCTATGTCGCTGGACTCCCACGTAGTCGACCGTGGTTCACGTCCCGGACCCAGTGGCTTAAAACTCACACCGGGCGTGTGTGCGTGCGTGCCCAAGATCCCGAGAGGAGAATGGAGGAGAAGGAATTGCGGCGTGACCATCCCCCCTGGGGGGTGATTTCTCACTTTCTGTCTCTCTCTGTCTGTCTGGCAAGTACACGCGCCCTGTAGTGAAAACCTCTCCAAAAAAAAAAAAAGAGCTGAAAGGGACCTAATGCCGGGGAGTCACCAAGATGAGGGAGGAGCAACACGTTTAGGGCCTGGTCAAAGCACGTGCAGAACAGCCGGTTGTCATGTGTGTACCTGATTCCTAAGTCCTGAGAGGAATCAGGAACGACATCCCCTTAGAGAACCCAACCTGGTCAAGGCAGCTGACAGCGCTCCACTGAACCCCTCGTTTAATCAGTTCCTCAGTTAGGACTGGCTTGTCTTCTCTTCTACTCTTTTTATGCTCAAAATGATCTGAACTTCTTGAGATTTATCCAGAATACGTTATTAACAAAGAAGCGTGGGTAGAAAGCCACGTCTGGCAGGCTATTCGGCCCTTTTCGCTGTTCTACCCCGTGTCCAAGTGAATGGATCCTATTCAACACAAAGACCAGATCTCACCTGGCCAACACAGAAAGTACTCCCCTCTGACTCCCACCATGAGAAGGACCCAAAGCCACTCACTTGCTACACTTGGTATTTAAAAATACTAACAACTTAAAAAGAAAAAAACGATTTTTGAGGTACTCTTTTTGGAAAGAACCAAGTTCTTTCTATCCAAGAACCAAGTAGTTTCTATTGCTTAAAAAAGCAATGATGGGGGAGGAGGGGGGCAGCAGGTGGTATGGTGGTAAGGTGCTGGACTCCCACATGGCCGAACTCAGTTCGAGTCTTGGACCCAGTGGCTTGTGTATGTGTGCATGCCCAAAATCCCAGGAGGAGAATGGAAGGACCTGCAACATGGCCAGTCCCCCTGGGAAGTGGCTTCTCACTTTCCATCTCACTGTCCCTTTGCCCTATGGCAACAACCTTAAAGGAAAAAACAAAAAAGGCAATGATGGGAAAGAAAGCTGACTGACACATAAATTCAAGTAGCTACGCACAACTTAAGTGAAATGAGGAATGACTATCTGATTTAGGTCTCAGCCTTCAGACAAGAAAAAGCACTCATAATGCCACTAACCTTTAGAGCAGCTTGTCATAAACTAAGGTCACTGAGCAGCACTGACCCTGCCACGGAACCCCAAAGCTAACCTTCCTAGCAGATGTGCTATCAAATTGTGCTGTGATGTTTAACTCTGGCCTCTGTGAGTGAGGGGCCCATCAACGTGTACCTCTCCAGGACCTGTCATAGGCACAAACGACTTCTAACATTTACAGCGTACGAAATGACTCAGGAAGAAACGCACTGAGCCTTGCAGAAATAATGGGTACCTGGAGCACTCAGTGCACCAACGTCCTAAAGTAACGGTAAAAGGGCTCGTTCCACTTCGTGAGTCGAGCACACACTAGGAATGCCAGGGAGCAATTTTTCAAGCGTTAATCTTACCTCATTTTAGTCTGATTTTAAAGGTCAGGGGGATGGCATGAAAACACATTCACAAGAATTAGAAGGGTGTCTTTTTACATTATCTTTCAAGCAGACCGCAGAAAGAATGAGTTCTCAGGGAAGGTTCTTCATTATAGGAAAGCGCGTTTTGAGATGGATGAAACGAGACAGCCCTACAACTGCCAAAGGCTTCCTCTACCTTTTTCTATGTGAAAATGTTGTATCTCTGCTTAAGGGACTTGCTCCCAGAAGCTTACCAGCCATACAAAAACATCCTTGCCCTACAAGCCTCCACATAGGATACCAGCCTCCAGGTCTGCTTCGAAGAGGATAACCTTGCATTTGTCACAGCTAGTTAGCTCTTATCAAAGGCTCAATGGAAGGAAGTGATTTTTATGAGAGAATAGCTCAGAGACTTATTTTCCATATCCACCTATTCTAGATGCTAGCCTTCCATCAATGGCCATGCTTCAGACAACCTTCATCATTTTCTCTAGTCTCCTCACCTAAAGAATTACCTTTACTAATTTACACATGAAATCTATGAGCTCAGCTTTTATCAAGAATCATTTGTTAGAAACAGTTTTATAAAGAGCACTATATAAAGAGCCTCCCATTCTATGTCTCCTATACAGAATTCCTCCTAAGAAAGCTTTCCAAATTGTCATCGAGTGCCCTAAACAATCAGCATGCTTTTCTTTTTCCTGACAGTGCAGAATATATAGCCAACAATATTCCCTTTTACATAGCACTTAAACCAAGACCACAGCAATCCCGTCCCACTCACTGGGTCTCGACATCAGCATAGTTGACTTCTCCCTTCTAGGGTCTAGATTGCCTGTTTCTTTTTTTAAAAAGAATTATTCTGTTTAACTTCATTTATTTATTTATTTTAATTTGACCAAAGAGAATTATTTTGTTTTAACTTTATTTATTGATTGAATTTAATTTGACCAGAGAGGAAGAGAGAGAGAGAAAGAGAGAGAAGTGAGAAAGCAAACCACCAGGTCCAGGACTCGAATTGCCATCAGTCATGTGGGAGTCCGGCATCCTTAACCACTGCATTACCTCCGGGCCCCAGATTGTCTATTTCTATTTATGATCTGCTAATATTTTTTATCATCTGTGGATATATTAACATGTTTATTTACTTTATAAATAAATTAACGAATATGTTATTTATTATTTAACCAGCTGTGTCAAACATTTTGGGAAGGAAGCAAGGTAAAACTAAATACATACTTAGTCTGGTACTATGGCAGTGTTTTTAAGGGAGCCAGATCCCACATGGCTGACCATGCAGTCTGAATCCTATCCCAGTGGTTCAAAACACAGGCTGGCCATGTGTGGGTACATGCTCTGAATTTCCACAGAATGCAGGGATAGAGGAGAAGGGATTGTGGCGTGACTATGTCCCACTGAGAGGCGCTCTCTCTCTCTCTCCCTCTCTTTCACTCTTGCTCTCTCACTCTCTTCCTCTCTCTCTCTCTGGTGAGTACATATGCCCTCTGGCAAATTAAAACACACAGTCTTGCAACATGAATTCTATGCATGAATTGACATGAACATACCCCAAATTCATCTAGACTATATCCTTTTGAAATGAGATGGTCTAAAGCCAAGAAAAAAGCAGCAGCAGAGACTCTGATTCATAATTCAGCACTATGTCCCACCCTCTATGCCCAGGAAGTCCAGTGGACATGCTAAATGCAGTTTACCAACCTCCTCGCCACTGGCTATTCGGTGAGCCAGGTCTTTTAAATTTCTCATCATTCTTTCATCCCGAAAATCATAAGGAAATGTTTCTGTCCATTCTGTCAGAAGTTGAAGGATTTTAGGTGCAATTTTTCTTATCTGATTCTAGGGAGCAAAAGCAAATCTAATTTAGTAACGTCTATCACCAGAGACTACATCAAATACATAATTACACAGCATCATTGATAAACTTCTAGTGCAAAAAGTCTCAGGAGTTGAACAAAAAGTTCCAGGCCTCCCCCTCCCAAGCCAACACCAAGAGCCTCCCACTCAAAGCAGATTCTAGGGATATTTCATGCGTTACAATTATATGGGGTTCTTTATACCACTCCCAATTCCCTATGCATAGCCAAGAGTACTTAAAGAGATACCGGCTTTACAAAATCTAAGCCACAGATTAGTATACCCAATTTAAAAATTATGCAGTTGAAAATACGCCATTACCTTATCACCATCGGAATCACTGAGTCTCTGGTGGTCAACACATAAGTGGCAAACTTTGGCCATGAGCTCATATGGATGCATAAATAACCGGGAACTGAGCAGGAAGGTAAATATGTACGTTCTCTGTGGCAAGAGGAAAAAGTCACCATGGTTACATTTTCCTCGGAAATGTATCTTCCTTATTTCATTAAGTTCTCTTGCTCCAAATGAAGAGGCTGCTGTTTCAAAAGCAATACCCACTAGTAGTAAAACAGGGTAAGATGGATTTCTGATACAGCTTTTCTTTTAAACCATGCTAAAAATAGCAAAATACAGGATACGTTTGGCTTTTGCAATTAAGAGCACATTTTCACATCCACCCTGGGGGAGCCAGGATACCAGAACACATAACTCACACTCACAAAGAAGAATGAGATTCAGTCCAGGGAGCTAAATCTAACTTAAATATACTCCCCATATAGAAGCTGGTGCTGTCTCCAAATATTATGGTAACTCAATGGAAACCAAAAGCAATGACAACAAAATCCCCACCCACTCAACCCACATTCAGCTCAAGAATTCTCCAGCGTACACTGTAGCACACTGAAGTATCTGTGTTGGAACATTCAAAGGCCAGCTTTCAAGTAACCTATTTACTTGTTCAAAGGCTAAGCAATTTGATAAAGTACAATGTAACACTATATACTTTTCTTTAACCACATTGTGTCCCAAGAAGCCAGTAATGAAGTAGTGCTTATTTGTTATAATAGTTTCAGACTCCCAAAGAAAAAAAGAAATTCCATGGGCCTTTTTATTATTTTTTTATTTTTTCCCCCTCAGGCGCCTTTAGTAGCTCATAAACACTTAGAGGGCTGAACAAGGGGTTCCTTTTAGTTTTGATTACAAGATTTCCCTGTGTGGCAACATATTTGAAAATGCTATATAACAAATCACACACAGAGAGATAATTCAGTAAGAAACATTACGGGGAATTACAGTGGCAAGTACAAACTATCTTTTGTACACCAAAGAAGTTATTGTATTTATAAAAACAAGTGAATGCAGTCTCTAGATATTTTCATGAAATCTTTATCAATAACCAGCTGCTTAGTAAATCTTGTTGTACTCCTGAGCTCAATTCCACAGGGGCAGCTACAGCAGGAGAAAATAGGGAAAAAATCACTTGCCCCATAAAGAAAACCTAAGTTTGATTGCTGATGCCGGGAGAGAGACCATGAGCAAATACACAAGACACTGCATTTCAGTTTTCCCCCCTTCACTCTCTTGGAATTAATGTAAAGGCTGAGAGAATATATAATACTCTAGATTAGAAAGTACGGTCTATGCAAATGTGGGTTATCAAGATAAAACAAAAACACGCCATCTAATGCCCAATCTTTTTTTATTTTTAATTTTTTTTGGAGAAGTTTTGTTATAGGGTGTGTGTGCTCACCGGAAAGACAGAGACAGGAGGGATGGCCACACCGCAATCCCTTCTCCATTCTCCTCTCAGGATCTTGGGCACAAACGCACATGCGCCCAGCATGAGTTTAAGCCACCGGGTCCGGGACTTGAACCACGGTCGACTAGATGGGAGTCCAGCAACATAGCCATTACACTGACTGCTGGTCCCTAATGCTCAATCTTCAAAGAAATGCATCTTGAGCACCAATCTTGTTCTCCTCCATGTACCTTCCCTGGTTACAGTCACTTTTCTCAGCATAATGATGGTCTTGGAAACAAGGCATTTAATATTCTGGGAGCATCCAATGTTCTCTGGCAGTTCTATTTAAGGACTAAGGTATATGCATGAAGCAACCCTACAGATACTTCATTTAGATGGTATCAGACTGCCCATAATGTGGCACATAACCCGAAAAAAAAAAAAATACACAGACTACACCAAACCCAATCCACATGCAGGTGCAATCTGATCTCGGAGCACTCGATCATCAAATGCAGTTTCTTATTAGAGAAATTCTTAGCGGCCTAGATATACTGGGTCATCAGAAAAGTCATAACATATTTTTCTATGCAAAAAGGTGTCATGACTTCTCCGATGGCCCAATAATTCTGCAGTTCTCGTAGTCCCCGTCTACTACTCTATCCCAAGGACATGTGTCAGAGCAGCAGAAATACATACATCCGGGTAGTAATCCACATTAGGTACTAAGTGCTGGATGAGTGCTTCCAGGGAGCCGGAGAGGAGGTTGTTGTCATGGTAATACAATCCTCCACAGCTGTCCTCTGCAGACTGGTAGAGGTTTCGGTTGTAACCACTGCTGTCAAACATTGCTGAAAAGGGAGGCGTCTGAGGCATACTTTCCTAAAAGGGATGAAAAAGAAAATATGTTGTCAGCAATATGCAGCGTAGAGGGAAGAGTAAGCTTTTGTAGGCACTAAACTTCGTTTTAGAAAACAGCATAAGGCGGGGCCAGCAGGTGGTGTGGGGATTAAGACACTGGATTCTTACATGGTCGACAGCGGTTCATGTCCTGGACCTGGTGGCTTGCTTTCTCACTGTCTCTGTCTCTCTCTCTCTCTGTCTCTCTCTGTCTCTCTCTCAAGCATGTATGACCTATAGCAAACATTAATGATAAATAAAATTAAATGATTCGTAAAGAAAAAAAAAGTGTATGTTCTGACACAGTATCAGAACCCACCATGATCCAAATTGCTCTTTGAGTTCCACATGGATGCATACTTCTGAGTACACTCTCATTCAATCAAATATTATAAAATACTTGGACCAAAGGCTCCAATCAAGACTTAAATTCAAGTCTCTGGCTGTCCCTCATAGACAGCTCTGCTTCATTTTTGGTTGTGGGGTGGTGATGGCAGGACACTAAATGTGGGCTGCCTTAGCCACTGAGCCAAGCGTTTCCCTAAGGGGTATGCCTTCAAACATGGCCAGAAAAATTGATACAGCTTTTAAGATACATCTGACCACCGTGGACATACTGCGAGACATCCAAAGCTGATGTTAAAAAATGAACTTGCAAAAGAAGCCTGGGATTAAACTGTGTGTGTGTGTGTGTGTGTGAATGTTTCAAGAGATTAGTGCTGACTCTCCAGCTTTCGGTGGAAGATCAGATGTTGATTTTCACTGCTTTGTGTCAAATTCTCGGTGGAGGGAGGATAGAAAGCTTCAGCTCTCAGTAAACACGCAGGCTGAGAAGGCACCTGATTTGGAGCGGAGTACTGTGACATCCCAGGATAAGTTGCTCCTCTCCATCTGTGTGCTCTGCAACTCACAAAGCCCTTGTCAGAGCACGCCCAGTTGAGGCCAGTGGCTATTAAGTCATTACTTGGATTCCTGGGGATAGAGCGCCCAGTCCCAAGAGCAGACCCCGGGTTTCAGGCAGCACGCCGGGACAATGGAGCCATTCAAAAGCTACCAAGGAGACTGGGGGTTTCAGAAATCAAACAATGAGGGAAGCCAAACTCCGGGCCTAGGACTGACAGAAACAGGGACATGGAGACTCCAGGAGGACACAACCTGGGCTAATCTTTCTTTTCAACATGCCAGAGACATCTGCATCCAAAGGGGAGGGGTGTGGAGCCCTGGCTGAGAAGTCCCATCCTCCACTCCGCCGCATCTGTTCCAGCTCAGCTACTGGGGGTGGGAGCAGAGCCTCACAACGTGACACGTGCCTTGGCAGAAGGAGGCCAGGGGAAGACTCTTGGGGAACGTCCATTATAAAGCCAACCTGGCAGGTGAAGACAGCAATTAAGAAAAGAAGCATCAAGAAATATAAATGGGGGGACCAGCAGTTGGCATAATGGCTATGTCACTGGACTCCCATGTAGTCGATGACGGTTCGAGTCTCAGACTCAGTGGCTTAAACTCACGCCGGGCACATGTGCGTGCATGCCCAAGATCCCGAGAGAAGAATGGAGAAGGGATTGCGGCATGGCCATCTCCCCTGGGGTGATTTCTCACTTTCTGTCTCTCTGCCTCTGTCTTTTTGGTGAGCGTACATGCTCTATGGCAAAAACCTCTCAGAAAAAAGAAATCTAAATGGGGAGGGGGAGTACCTCTCTGCCTACTCTGTCCAATCCACAGACCATGCTGAAGGGTGACATAAAGGGATCCTTGAGGAAACTGTCACACATGGGAGTGACCGCTGAGGACCATTGTATCTGGGGTTGGTCACTACCAGGGTCACTGGTGCCAGACCCCTCCTGGAGGCAGGACACAGCACAGCAGCCACAGGGTCAGAAATGATGAGCTGTCACATCAACACACACAATCTACAACCCCCTTAGCTGAGAAGACCTCACGTGGACAAACTGCAGAGAAATAACCTAACTCGATGTTCACATTTTGAACAAAACACCTTTCCTTCCTCTTCAAATTGCCAGTTTTCTAAGAGTACATTTCATGAGCCATATAGTCACCGCAGAAGAAATTCAGCCAATTTTAGGCCAGCAGGTGATGTAGCAGATACATCGCTGGACTCCCATATGGCTAACTGTGGTTCGAGTCCTGGATCAGATGGCTTGAAATTCATACTGGGCACATGTGAGTGTATGCCCAAGATCCCGGGAGAAGAACAGAGGAGAAGGAATTGCAGTGTGGCCGTCCCCCCAGGGGGTGATTTCTCACCTTGCCTCTCGCTGTCTCTGTCTCCCCCCCCCCCTCTGGCAGAAGCCCCACCAATTTACCTTTTTCCCTGAGAATGCCCCTGAACCTGAGAAGAAAAGCTCCTAAAAATTACTTCTGATAATTGCGAGGGAACCATCTGTCTGCATTTGGTGGCCTCTGGCTTAAAAAAGCTTTAGATGAGCCAGCTGGTGGTGTGGTGGTAAGAGGGCTGGATCCCACGTGCACCACTGAATGGTCTGAGTCTTGCACCTGGCTAGAGAAACAAAACTGGGTGTGTGCTGAGTGTGCCCCAAATCCCAAGAGGAGAATGGAGCAGAAGGAATTATGAGGTGGTTAACACCCCCCAAGGGGTGCTTTCTCACTTTCCCTCTCTGTCTCTGTCTCTCTCTAGTGAGTGCATGTGCCCTATAGCAAATCTGGATGGTTATAACCACACAATGTCCTTTACACAGAGGGGAAGAGTGGAGCTCTGTGATGCCCTCACCGCTGGCTTTTGGTTTGGTTTTGCCAGCATCTGTGCATTTTCCTTGATTTCTCTACTTACTTGTTGCTATGTAAGTTGTTTTAATAAAGTGTTTTGGGGAATAGTTGGCCAGAAATTGGGAATACCAGAAAATGATAAACATTCAAAGGGACCATGGAAATCACCTAGTCCGGGATATGGAAACGAATTTCATTCCACTCTCCACTTGCCATCAGTGAGAAGTGGTCAGAAGGAGGAATAAGAAAGACCTGGAGGTCTAACTAAGTGGGAGAGTGCGTGTCCTGAGTGACTGGCCAAGACTGCAAAACAGTTCTGGGACAGCCTAAGCCCACGCACCATCACGGTCTGGTTCGGTCTCCTCTTTTCTCAATGTGCAAGCAGAGACCCGGGGAGTTGGATGGAACTCCCGGAACCTTGCACTCCTTACGGCCTGGGCTTATCAGCTTACAGTAAGTACCAAGCCCCAAAACGAGCACAGGACACTCAGTTCCATTCTAAGAAATCAGTGCCACGAGCCACTCAGTATTTCTACTTCTTAAATTATTTACTCCTATAGAGCGAACAAGGACTAAGATCCAGCCCAGGATTCAAATTTAATGAAGTCCTAATTCTGGCACTTCATAGCAATGCGATTTTCAGAAAGTTTTTTACCATCCCTCTCCTTCCCAGTATATTTTCCAACTGCTATTTCCAGTTTTCCTGATATCTTCCCAAATCCTTACAACAAAACTACCTACCTCCTATGTTATAGCTAAGTTATTCTTAGAGCATTCATATTAGCGCAACGGCAAATGACTTTCGAGTAATTCTTTGGAAATGTATCACTCATAGGATTTCCCCCAGGAGGTACAAAATATCAACACTTAGAAAACTCCCTCCCACAAAGTACCCAAACAACATACTTTATATAGCAGTGGAAATGAAAATGAGGTAAATTAATCGGGGCTATTGCTTCTTATACTTAAAACTCAATAATAAGGGAACCAGCAGTTAGCGTAATGGCTATGTTGCTGGACTCCCACGTAGTCGACCGCGGTTCAAGTCCCGGACCCGGTGGCTTAAAACTCACACTGGGCGCGTGTGCGTGCGTGCCCAAGATCCTGAGAGGATAATGGAGGAGAAGGGATTGCGGTGTGATCATCCCCCCTGGGGGGTGATTTCTCGCTTTCTGTCTCTCTGTCTTTCTGGTGAGCGCACGCGCCCTATACCAAAAACCTCTCAAAAAAAAAAAAAAAACCCTCAATAATAAGAAGGGAGTATACTACAGTGTGCTTTCCACTTTCTAATTAGCCCTAAGTTCTGTGGCTAATTAGCTGATTTCATTTTCCCATGAGCCATCTTGATTGTTGAACTTGTTGAGACCAAACAAACCACTAAGATTCAAGTCACTCCAAGAGACTCCAGCTATTTGCTGTTTATACACTGTGGTCACGTTTTCTACCTTGCCATATACTCAAGACAGCATTTCTTCAATTCTTTAAGTCCTTCTTTTTTGTTAGTTCTATGTTTGTTTTTGTTTTTGTTTTTCTTTTTTTTGGACAAAGAGCTCGATATTCCCAAGTCTTTACTTTTCCGAATTCCCCCCGGAAGTCTCTCTGTTGGTATCTACTGTGTGGAAGACCCTGAGAACTTCACTGCATTCATGCAAGGGCTTAGCATTGATGACAATGCCCTTCTGGGTTCCACAGCCACCCATCTGACAGGAATTCTCATTCTTTTTTGAGTACATATGAATCTGAGGTTCAGGAAAATGATACCAACTTCCTTGGCTTTATTCTTTGAATAAGGAACAGATAGGATAGTTTCTAACCTAGGTCTTCAAATTCCAGGTTCAAAATTTATTACACTCACAAAATGTTATACGGTAAATGGTCTGTTTTGAACTTCTACTGTTTAACCATAAAATGAAAAGCCTGTCAATCTGTCCCAAATTGTAGGCTATTAGAATTATTTATGTTTTACAGGTCTACATAATTTTTTTCTCTAAAGACATATTAAACCTATTAATTACTCTTATTAAAAAGTCATACTGTCAACAGCAGTATTTAAGATACTGACCTTTACAATCAAAGCATAGTCCTATTTAGTAGAAATTTCAGAGTCTAAAATGCACCACTTTTGTATCTTTAAAACTGAGAGGTATGTATACAGTCAAATGATAAGAAAACTTAATTAACAATCTTTTTCAGCCATACATGAAACAGAGTATCTTACAATAGATGGTACCTTAGAT